GTTGTTTACGTTCGTGTAGAGGGCAGTCACATCAAATGACTCTATAACACAGTTTTCTTGAATTCTGCAGGAGTGTAGTCGATCCAGAAATTCTCTGGTGTTAGGTAAGTGTGAAGGTACATACCGGAGGAGTTGACCAACAATTTTGTTGAGAAACCATGAAATGCGGTCTGTTGGTCCTCCCACACAGCTAATGATAGGTCGTATTTTGTAATCGCTAGCATTACCGAGTGTTCTTCTCCATTGTTTAACTTATGAGTTTTGATCAGGCTATAGAACACAGGGCACGAGGGAGTTTCCAACTTCAATCTCTTCATAAATCTTTCGTCTAGTCCAGCTGATTTTCCGACGGATATCCACAGTGCATTCAACCTGTGACATTGGGTGATGAAAGCCTTTCTCTGTAGTGCGACTGTAAACGGAGGAATCACTGAGGTGGAGCTCTGTAATTTCACGATACAAAGTGAAACTACGAACTCTCCTCCTTTGTCGCTCACGGAGAGACGGATTTCATTGTTAGCTACGCGTTCTTCAATCTCTTGGAAGCCTTCCCACTGCGCGCTTGTGATGTTTGAGAACCTCTCACGTCTGTGCCTGTTGAAAATTTCAAGTATTATGAGAGAACCCGAAATTTAGTGTCTGTTTCAGGGAAAGGTTCAGGCTCTTTATAAAACGAACGTGGGAAAGGAACTGGCGCCAATATTGATCGATCAGCCTCTGTATTCGTGTGCTGTTGGTTTCGACTTGCATTCTTTCAACGTTGATCTCTCAATTCATTGAGCCCCGTTACTACATGGCGTATCGTTGAATATGTTGCAAATTGCTCAAGGAGTGTCAAAATTGCAACATATTTAAGTGGCGTGGTCAGTACTTCTCACAAAAACGAGGACTTGCAATGGGCAACGTCTAGCACCGGTCCTAGCTATCTGCTTTATGGGCAGAATAGAACGACCGGTGATAGCACATGCCCATTATGTACTGTCGATATATTGATGACTGCTGCGTAATTACTTCAACACAACTCGAAATGGATGAATTATTCAATATACTCAATCAACAATCACAGTACATAAAGTTCACTAGAGAAGTTCCACACAATGGTTGGCTACCTTACTTGAATACACAGATAAAAAAATCTCAGTGGAAGGTATAGTGTGAAGTGGTACCGGAAAAAGCAGCTCAAAGAACATCTTACTCCATGCAAAGTCTGCACACCCCACAGCTGTAAAAAATGCTGTTGTTCGAAACATGTACAAAACAGCTATTGGAGTTTGTACAGGCAACATGGAGCGAGATGAGTCTCGTAAGCTAGCTCCTGTCATTGCAAGGATGAATGGCTACGAAGAACAAAGAAGATCAGGCTCACAAAGGTATTCCGCGAGAAATCGCGAGGCGTCACAAGGGCGTTCCGCGCGTAGTCGCGAAGACATTGCGCATCTCCAATTGCCTTTTATATCAGATAAAGTCAGCGCAGCTATACGCCAGTGCATAGTAAGAGCAAATTTAGCCAACGACGTCGTTTTGATCAATATACCAGGGAAAATATCAAACGACAACTAATCCGCAATAGGCTATACGACCGAGCATGCACGGCCGACGACTGCGTAATTTGCCCATATGGAAGGCATGGAGACTGTGCACAACGAGGGACAGTATACCAACTCCAGTGCTCAACCTGTAACGAAGTTTACATCGGAGAGACGGGCAGAATGTTAGGATACGCGTTAAAGAACATCTGGCAGGAAAAAGGGGGGCCTGGTTACTCCACTTGGCAAGCACCGGTTAGAAGATCACCAGGGCAATGATTTTAATATTGAATGCAGAATCCTTGCCCGCGAGGATGACATCGGTGCTAGAAAGATGTTAGAAGCGTTCTATATCCGCGCACGAAATCCAAAGCTAAATAACCGAAATGAATGCATTGCCATTACAAATGAATTCCTGCCTTTCATTCCTTTATGTGGATTGTGAGATATTCACATATGGCACGTATGACGCTTCACTGTCATGTGTGTCTCATTTTTCCACATATACTGACGGAATTGGGGTGGACACGTGGCGCTGGTGGAAGCTGCTAAGGTTGGTTTCCTTAGTTGGAATTTTCCTCTATTTGAAACTCTTGAGTAGTATCGTGGGGCTTGACCGGGTAAGTTACAAGCTAAAACTTCGAACCGACTTCAGGTCCTGAAGACGACGAGTTGTTCGAAACGTCGACCGAATAAAAGTTCCACCGTAACAACCTGTATGGCAGAAAAAGAAAAACAAGCAATATTTTCAACATGCCCAGGAATCAGGAAGACCCAACATGGAATCAACGTGGGGCATTCTAATCTGTCGTAAAATGTTGAGATCACCTGCTATTGCATCATGATGATGATCCACCACTTCCTCTCCTTTGGGCAGCAGAATCTGTGGTTCATATTGCTCCCCGTGCACATATAGCAGTGCAACCAGCAATGCAACAGGGAGCAGGAAATTCCTGGGCCACACTCGTTTCTTCTATAATATTTTCCCGCTGATTTTTCCTATTATAAACCAGATTAGTCCCCCGTCAACCGCCGGGACCTTCCTTTCCTGCGCAAGCTTTCTATCCTCCGCTATGGTCCCTTCCTCCTGTGACACCAACACCTCTGGAAGTGACGCGTATGCAACACAATGGTGTTTCATACAGTAGAAGGGACACAATCATGATATGACGGTAGATTTTTCGCTTCCCTTCCTCATCCTCCCTTCCTCTCTCCACTGCCCTCCAGCTGCCACTGCAGCACCATGTGGAATGAACGGAAGTGTGCTAAGCAGGTGTTTATATAGCCCTAAGAGTGTTATCACAACTATCCTGCTACAAAACATTGATATCTCAAATCCTGTAAGCTACCCGATTTGTTAGCGGTTTGTTTATCCCATGAGCTTCCTTCTCACTCACTTCATTTTGCGGACGGACACACATACATACAGTCGATATCTCGAAGTTGGGGTAGGCGTGGCACCGGACTACATTGCG